CCCACACTGTTGGGTGTGTGAATGCCCATTCGTACACTTAATAAAGTAAAATTGTGATTATTCATTTGAAATTTACACACCTCTGCCCCTTTGTGTACGATTGTCGTTCACACATCTATAATGTGTGCCACATCCTGATCAGCAGAGCCGAGCGCAAGCTTCGCGCGCTCAATGTCACCTTCTCCCGTGCAGTCCAGACAGGCATTGGCGGCGGCGTCGGGCAGCGCCTGCCAAACCTCACCTGGACGGGTTACTGACCGACCCGTCAGTCTCTAAATAATACGGGTTTGCGTATTATCCCTTGCGGAGCTGACAAACATGGTTATCTTTCACGGCATTACAGTCCAGGTTCTGCGGAGGCCCGGGCGAGCGCGAGCAAGGAGCAGGCAGCCAGGAGGAAGGGCAGCACCCCGTGAGGCTCGGACCCCAGCCGCCACCCGCGAGGTACCTTTGGCTTGTTTGTGGCTGCCGAGGGGTCCTTCACTCAAAAAAATCAGTGTACACCCTTGGAAAAGATCACGAAAAAATCATGAAAAAATCATGAAAAAATCACGAAAAAATCACAAAAAATCACGAGAAAATCACAAAAATTCAAGAGAAAATCACAAAAAATTAAGAAAAACAGAAAAATCGGTGTACGCTTCAATTTTTAGTGAAGAACCCCTCGGTGGCTGCTCTCCGGTCCGCACTCGTGGACGAGCTCGTGGATCACCGCCCTGATCCCGCGATCTCATTCGCACTGTACGACGGCCCGGGTCACGAAGCGAGGCGTGATCCCGCGCCGGGGATCAGAATCGGGTCGATGCTCCTCCTATTATTGATCTTCAAGAGGATCCGCGCAACCCGCGCAGGGAAATGACAGGCCGAAACACGAAAAAAAAAATGATGGTAAAAAAAAGAGGGAATGACAGACGAAGCCGATCAAAGGAATAAATAATTACGCGGTCGTCACGTGCTTAATATGCTAATGAGGCACCGGTACCCTGTGTTCTTATTTTATTATCACTTTTTGCGAGACGTGTCTCTTTTTTTTTCTTTCGCCGCGTGACTTCGTGCACCTTGTGCCGTATGTCGCGGTCGCTGCGGCTGACGCGCGCGTTACCGAACGTTTTGCAGCGTTATGTGGCGCAGGACAACCTGAATGACCGGGGCGGGGCGGGGCGCACGGATGGAGCCCCCACCTCAGTGCTCCAGTTAACTTCAATTAAACGCGCGCAATCATAAGCGACATGCTCTCTGTCTCTCTCTTTCTTTCTCTCTCTCTCTCTCTCTCTCTCTCTCTCTCTCTCTCTCTCTCTACCTCCCTCCGTCCCTCCCTCCCTGCCTCCTCCCTCCCTCCCTCTCTATCTCTCTCTCCCTCTCTCCCTCTTTCCCTCTCTCCCTCTCTATCTCTCTCTCCCTCTCCCTCTCTCGCTCTCGCTCTCTCGCTCTCGCTCTCCCTTCCCTCTCACTCCGTCTCTCCCTGCACGCCTCCCTAGCCATATACCTCCACATCAACAGAAACAGGTCTGGGTCGCATCAATCGTGCTGTTTACTGGTATGGCAAGGACGAAATGACACCCTTGCTGTGCGTGCGTGTGCGTGAAGATTTACTTTTGTTATTCACTACCATTGTGGACTGTGAGAATATTGCTGCCTTCTTATTGTTGTTTGTGAAATAAAATAATCTTGCAATGATTTCCGATTGCGCATCTCCATTGCAAGATCAATCGTTCATCAATGCAGTTATGTGATGACTATTTTATCGTGCGTGTTTGTAAACTTTCAGAAGTTATCCGCGAAAGTACAAATAATTTTGCACAGTTGTACAGTTGTGTACCGTCGAGCGTACGTACGTACGTACACCACGTACATCGGGCCTCTCTCACCGAAGCTTGACGTCAGAGCGCGGGTCTTTAAATTTGTATTTTTATCCCGCATCTCGCCTCGGAGCCCACTGTTGTCTCGCGCGTATAAAGCACACGTTTACGGGAAGAATTATTCGTGTCCCGACGAAAAGGGTTTTTGGCTGAGCGTTAGCGAAGCCTTTGCTGTCATGAGGTGCAGGGAACTCTTTGGTTGTGTGTCTGTCTGTCTATCTGAAATCACACACGTTTCTCAAAGACGGCAACTTCAATTGACTTCAAACTGCGCACGAAGCATCAGTATAAATCCGGTCGTATCGAGTTTAGTTTAGAAGTTTGATAGAAGATGTTTGAAATAAGCGATCGTTTAATTTGAATTCGTAGTTTGGTGGTAGTAGGTTGGTAGCACGGCACTCTCACCTGAAGACTTTAATACCTTCTCAGCAGTGATTAAAATGTCAGATACTCAAACCGAGTGTTTTAGTTTTAGTTTTAGAGTTGCGGAA